ACCCCAACGTGCTGCTGCTGCTGGGCGTTGTGGGGCCCCCCGTGTACGGGCTGGTGACGGAGTACGTGGGGGGCGGCTCGCTGTTCGACCTGCTGCACCGGCAGCAGCAGCCGCTGCCGCTGGCCCGCGCGCTGCAGCTGGCCCGCGAGGTGGCCCTGGGGATGAACTACTTGCACCAAAAAGGAGTTCTTCACTGCGACTTGAAGAGTCCCAACATTTTGATAACTGCTTCTGGGGAGGTGCGGCTGTGCGACTTCGGGCTGGCCACCATTGTGGAGGCCGCGGGCGGGCCGGACTGGTCTGCTGCGGCGCAGCAGCAGCAGCAGCAGCAGCAGCAGCAGGACCCCCAGGCCGCCCACCTCGGCTGCGTCGGCACCCACCACTGGATGGCACCCGAGAGTGAGCGGCTGGCCGCGCAGCCAGGGGCGCGCAGGGGCAGGGGTGCAGCTGCGGGGGGTCACCTGCTGCTGCTGCTGCTGCTGCTGTTGCTGCTGCAGTTCTGCGCGGAGAGCCGTTCACCTTCGCTGCTGATGTCTACTCCTTCGGCATTGTGCTCTGGGAAATGCTTATGGGCGATTTGCCCTTCTCAGGTCAGCCAGCAGCGAACTCCCTGCTGCTGCTGCTGCTGCTGCTGCTGCTGTTTTGCTTCGTTGGCGCTGCTGCAGCCGCAGCGTTCCCGAGGCGCTGCTGCGTCGCCGCTGCTGCTGAACGGGGTGCGGGTGTGGGGCGAGGGCAGCAAACGATGTGGGCCGCCACCACCACCGCCGCCGCTGCTGCCGCTGCTGCTGCTGCTGCTGCTGCTGCTGCAGGAATTGCGTCTTCCGCGCACCTCATAACAGTCGTGGGGTACGGAGGAGTCAGCCCCCCACTCGACAAAATCCCGAGGCCCCTCAGGGGCTTTCTCCGCAGCTGCCTGCAGCAAGACCCTTCTTTGAGGCCCTCTTTTGCTGCTTGTGCGCAGCTGCTGCAGCAGCTGTACACAGCCAACTTGCTGGACGTCGAGGTGGACTTGAACTCGCTGCTCGGGCTCGGCTCTTAGCAGCAGCCGCTGCAGCAGCAAACCAGCAGCGGCAAAGCAGCAGCAGCAAACCAGCAGCGGCAAACCAGCAGCAGCAAACCACGAGCAGCAAACCAGCAGCAGCAAATCTAAGGCCACACTTGTGTCCTCCTTTCTTTTCTTTTCCTTCCAAAAGAACAAATTTTTACTTGCATGCAACGCAGTTTCCCTTAGCCCCTTCTCCTGCCTTTTTTCCTAGCTCATCTTGTCTGAGGGGCCCCGAGGGGGGCCCCAAGGGGCCCCAAGGGGGCCCCAAGGGGCCCCAAGGGGGGCCCGAGGGAGCCCCTAGAGGCCCCCTCAAGACCCCCGGAGGCCCTCCAGGGGCTTTGGGGGCCCCAAGGGGGGCCCCAATGGCCTCTAGAGGCCCCCTCAAGACTCTGCTGGGGCCCCCTGCGGCTTTGGGGGCCCCAGGGGGTCCCTGGAGGCCCCCTCAAGACCCCGGGGGGCCCTTCAGGGTGTTTGGGGGCCCCAGGGGGGGCCCAAGGGGCCCCTGGAGGCCCCCTGAAGACCCTGGGGGGCCCCCCAGGGGCGGCGGGGGCCCCAAGGGGGGCCCCAAGGGGAAAGACCCTGGGGGCCCCCCCGGGGTTTTGGGGGCCCCCTGGGGGCCCCCGAAGCCCCGGCGGTTTGCTGCGAATTGCTGCAGCAGAAATCGGGCTAAGGTCAAGAACATAAACTCAGTGTGTCTTGGTTGAGGTAGTGATCAACTAATCAAATTAATTGATCCAATTAATTAATTAATTTAATAAAATAATTAATTAAATTAAATGATTTATTTAATTTATTTAATTTATTTAGTCAGTTTATTTTAGTCGGGAATCCCAGAAAGCCAGTTTCTAGAGGAAGTTCCTTATAACTTAAAGTGGGGCTCTCAGCTGCTGAATAGCAGCTGGGGCTGGGGCCAGCAGCAGCAGCAGCAGCAACAGCACCAGCTGCTGGTGCTACTGCTGCTGCTGCTGCTGGGGGGGAAGGCAACTAATTTGCAGTTTTCTGTGCTGCTGTGGGTGCAGCAGTTCGAGCCATGAGTTACACTGGAGTATTTAATTGCTGCTATAGTTTACTTGTTTTTATTTTATTACTTTTTCATTATTATTATTACTATTATTATTATTATTGTTGTTGTTGTTGGTGTTGTTGTTGTTGTTCTTTGCTATTTATTATTATTTGCTGCTTCTCAATTGCAGGCTTTTCATCAGCTAGCAGCGCAGCAAGGAGGCTTCGGTGCTGCAGCAGCAGCAGCAATTTATATTCTTTTTCTGTTTTCTTTTTTATTATTTTATTTCCTTTTTATCTTTTCTAATTCTGCCAAATAATAAGGCCATAAAGCAACAAAAAGTGGCAAATAAAAAGTGGATCGTTTTGCAGAATCTTAGCGCAGAAAGAGGTCTGGAAGCGAGGCAGAAAATTCGGGGTTTAGGGTTTAGGGTTTAGGGTTTGGTGAGGTGGCTGTCAGATATTGAGGTGAAAAGTGAGTGTGTTGCAGCTCAAAAAAGGCATTTGAGACTAATTAATTTAAATGGGAGGCATCACTAAACGTTTAGGAATAAACTCGAGCAAAAGGAATGAAACGAAGTGGAACTCGTACGCACTTGCAGCTAGTTCTAGTGTACGTACACCTGGCGAGGACTGCAGCAGCTGAGCGTCTGAAAACTTCATTTTCATTTTTCGTTTTTACAGTTCAGCACTTTTGCAGTTCTTTAAAGCATTAGGCGCAGGCGCGGAGCGCATGCATAAGTGAGTACTGAACAAATCTGATAAAAAAAACAAAAAAAGCCAACAGGCAGACAAACAAAAAAATTAAAACTTCGTAATATATTACTTTTTTAATTTTAAATATAATACTGAAATTATGGAATAACTCTCCGCTATTTCAAGAGCATTCAGCAGTCTTGTTGGGGGGCCCCTCTGGGGGCCCCCCAGCAGCTGCAGGCTGTCTGCATTGCTGAGACATTGGGTGTTGGTTTCTCGCAGAAAACTGAAGTCTGAGTTCAATTTTTACTTTATTTCAGATTTAATAATTCTGAATTTGAATATATTTTCGGTGAACTCGTGAATCCGAATTGGGGTGTACAGCCACCGCGTGCAAGCGGCCGTTGCCGACCGGCGGGGTTTCCGGCTCCTTCTGTGCAACTGGCTGCTTACTTGTTTTCCGGAAGCTTTTTTAGAATGAATTTATCTTTTGAAAACGAATTTTTCACTTTTATTTCGCTGTTTTGCGTTTAAAAGTCTCTTTCGACAGCCAATGCGCGCCCGCTGAGATGTACGGACACTGCACTGCTCGCCTCAAGGGAGCCGCCGCCGCTGCTGCTCAAGCCTCATTTTTCTTCTTTGCCATTTCGCTTTCAATTTGTTGGCTTTCAGGCTGGCCTTTGCTGGGCCTCCTGGGGGGCCCCCTAGGGGGCCCCCACGTGCAGCAGTCGCTCGAGGGCGCGGGGGAAAGGGTCTACGCTTTGAGCCCCGCTGTGAAGGTACAGGGGCCCCCATTCACCCGGCCTCAGCTGCCCGCTGCTGCTGCTGCTGCGCTGCTGCACCGCCGCGCCGCTGCTGTGCTGCGCTGCTGCACCGCTGCGCTGCAGCGGTGCTGCTGTGCCGCAGCAGTGCTGCTGTGCTGCAGCGCTGCTGCTGCGCTGCAGCCGCTGCATGGAGGCAGCTGGGGAGCCTGTGCTGCTTGCGTGCTGCAGGAAGCAATGGAGAAGGCCGGAGTTGTCCATTCTGCATGTTTTGAAAAAGAAAGAAAAGAAGAAAATGAATTTTTAATTTGCATCGGGAGGGCCAACTGCGCCCACGCGAAGACGCGCAACAGTGCGCAGCTGGTGCCTGCGCCGGAGGCCCTTGAGTCTCCTGAGGGGAAGAGAAAGTCAGTTTGAATTCAATTCCAAATTAATTCAAATAAATCCACTTCGCCATTTCAACTGCAAACTAATTCAAAACAAACCCACTCTGTCCATGCAGCGCGCCGCCGCCTATAGGCTGCTGCAGCAGCATCTCCCCTGCTTCCGTCGTTGCTGAGAGCTGCCGCAGCAGCAGCAGCAGCAGCAGCTGCTGCTGCTGCTGCGGCAGGCTGAGAGCTGCTGCTCCACAGCAGCAGAGTTTCTGAGAGCTTGCAGTCCGTGCTGCAGCGGGGCGTGGGTGCAGTGCATGCAGCTGGTTTGAAAGAATTCAAAAAGGCAAAACTGGAATTCAAGTTTTGCAAGAGTGCTGCATGCAGAGCCATGGAAGTGACCCACGCAGTTCTGACCCACGTGGCGCGGGAAATGCAAACGAGTGACCTCAAAGTGTTGATGGGCAAAGTGAGTGCCTTGGGCTTGGCCTGCGACGGCTTCCAGCTTTCGCCGCCGCCCAAGCCGAGTTGAACGGGGGCGATCCGGGGGAAAGCCCGATACTTTTTCCAAGTTTCTTTTTCTTCTCTTCGCCAAAATCCAAATTGGATTCCGTTTGCTCGAAACGAAAAGCAGAAAGCGAGGAATCCGCGGGTATTCCTGCAGCGATCCGCCTTGAGGCGGGCTGCTGCGCTGGGTTTCTCGCTGCGCTTAATCGGCCGGCGAAACAAAAAGATTCCATAGAATTACTTTTAAATATTCTTTTTTAAATTAACGGGCTAGGCTTTCCAGCAAAAGACGCAGATCAACATTAGTGGCGTATTCACAGAAGTGAATTTGCATTCAGCCGGCGAATTTCGGGTGTATAGGCAGCTCCAGAACCCTCGTTCAAGTTTTCGCGGCCCGTGCGGCGGCTGCCCCACAAAACTCTTTCGCCATTTTTGTTTTAAATTAAATGCAGTTGTTATGTTTTGCTTTTCGCTTCCGTTCCTGTCACTTTCGCTGCTCCACGCAGCGGCCATGCACGCCGCCGCCGTGGGCAGCACTCGCGGCGCGGCCGCGGCGTTCACTGCAATGATGGAAACCCACAAAGATTTCGAAGAAGCTCTCGACTTAGTGTTTGACGGGCCTGCAGATGTTCTCGTGGGCACTCGAGTAAGTCCAATTCACTTTTTGCGACATTTGAATTTGCAATGAAGGGTTTCCGCAGCCGGGGGGACGGCTGACTGCGCCGGCGACGCGGAACCCGGTGAGTTCGCATTGAGACTTTCGCCGAAACTCCATTTTATTCTTTTATTCTTTTTATTTTTGATTTTAAATCTGCTTAATTTCCTTTAATTTCGCCAGAATGGACTCATTATTGTTGTTCTGGTGAGCCAGACCTCCGCAGCCGCGAGCCGCAGCGGGAAAGCCCCTCCCAGGCCAACGGGATAACAGTTCAAAATGTGGGCGCGAGCACAAGAGCCCAGTTGTGGGCGTTTGCCCCCGTGAGTTAACTTGAAGACCTTTTTTTTCATAGTTAAGAGCCCCGCTGCTGCTGCTGCTGCTGCTGCTGCAGCTCTGCTTCGAAAGGACCTACAGCCCCAACGCCGGCAAGATCTTCGTGAAAGGGCCTTTTAAAAAAGAAGTCTTTGAAATAAATAAACCCAAAGAGGCCAAGCAGTTGCCTCGCAAGACGCAGCAAGTGTTTCCCACGGCCAAGTGCAGTGAGCCACAAAGTTGGAAAAAAAGGAAATTAAAACAAAAAAGAAATTAAAACGAAAAGAAGTTAAGACAAAAAGGGAATGGAAATCCATAAAAGGACCTATTCATGCATGCGCTGTCCAGACACTGTTTACTTCCACTTGAACGAAAAACAAAGAATGAAAATCTGCGCAAAAAACCAAAAAATCAGCAGCAGCAGCAGCAGCAGCAGCAAACCCCCGGAGTGGCTGCTGCTGCAGGAAACCCTGAGCTCGCCCACCCCAGAGCGCATGCAAGGTGAATTTGTCTTGTTTGATTTTGCAAAGGAATTAAATTGAAGTCTGCTTTTTGTCCAAACAAATGCTCCACACTTTCCCAGGAGAAGTCTGTCCACTCAAAACGCATGCAAAACGCTCTTCTCAAAATGTTCTGACGAAGAGGCTGGCGAAGGCGTAAGAGCAACAGACCTGCAGCTTGGGGTGTACGTACACCTCGCGCCCGCAGCTTCGAAGAGGAAGCCGACGTCGTCGTCAAGTTCGTTCTTCTGCACTTCAAAACTTTTGCAAAATTCAAATAAATCGAATTGCAGAACTCTTGTTGAAGTCGGCGCCGACGTCCACCATCAGCAGCAGCTGCAGCAGCCGCTGCAGCAGCAGCAGCAGCAGCAGCAGGAGCCCCAGCAGGCGCAGGAGAGTGAGTGGCGCAGTTTCCGTCTCCGCTTCTTTCACTCATTGCTGCTTCTGCTGCTGCTGCAGTCCTCGGCAGCAGGTGAGCAGCAGCAAGCCGGGCAGCAGCTGCTGCAGTTTGTTGAACTTGTGGAATTCTGCAGCCAGGGCTCGGGAGGCCAAGTGATTTACTTAAGTGCTGCTCCCTCAGCAGCAGTTCTTCAAAAAAATCCTGAAATGGGACTTTATAACGCATGCACAAATAGTGAGAAAGCGAAAGTTCAAGTTCAGCCAGTGGCGCCATCTGGGGTGTACGTACAGCTCAGCTCTGCGTGATCGTGAACCGGGCCGAAGGCAAGTCTGCACTTTCACTTCAAATGATCCTTTTTGAAATTTAAAACACCTTTATCTTCAATTCAAATATTATTTTCTGAAATTTAAATCATTTTCTGCATGCAACAATTCAAATGCAGCTCCAGAAAACGAAAATGAAGCAGCAGATCCGCCAGCTCCAATACCTGTTTACCTCGCGCCGTTTTACGCGGGAAGAAAAATAATAATTGTGAGACGTAAAATTAAAATTTAAATTAAATGATTTAATTAATTAATTAATTGTTTATTTTCCCTTTTGCTCACTTGCACGCAGCTGGACTTCGGCGAAAAACACGCAAAGACCTTCACTGTGTCGCTCGAAGAGCCGCTGCTGCTCGAAGCATGAACGCCTCCTCAGGTGTACGTACACCTCAGCACCCCTCGGAACACGAACGCCTCCTCAGGTGTACGTACACCTCAGCACGCCCCACCTGCTTCTCTTTCGTTGCCCCTCCCTTTTTCCCTCTTGCTGCTTTTGCTGCTCCGCAGCAGCCTCTGCTGCCTCACGCTGCACTCATACGGGGGCCCCAACTGCAGACACACTCGCAGGGGGCCCCCCTGGGGGGCCCCCTGAGGCCTCCGGCAGTACCATATTTCGGTACTTTCCTCTGCAGTGCACAAACAGAAAGAGAAAACACTTCCATAAGCTTTGGCACTTACGTAAAGGGATCAACGCAGCCCAGGGTCTAGGACACGCCGCAGCAGCAGCAGCAGCAGCAGCAGCAGCAGCGCTGTTGCTGGAGGACCTGTGGGAATAGCCGGCGAAGAGCCTCTTGTCGCTGAGGTTGAGTCGGAACTTGTCTGCTGCTCGCTGGAGGCCATACTTCTTGATGGTTTTGAGGCCCTTCGCCGAGAGCCGCAGCAGCACATAATGTTTTGCTGCTTCCCACCAGAGGCGTTTCCAGCAAAGGTTCAGCCGCTGCACTCGCGGTGTACGTACACCCGAGCGGCTCACCCGCTTAGCCTTCCGGTTGTCCATTTTCCCCAACAACATGCACCTGCTCCACCCACAAACCCCAAACCCTAAACCCTAAACCCCAGCAGCAGCAGCAGCAGCGCAGCAGCAGCGCAGCAGCAGCAGCGGCGCGCACATCGGGAAGGCTGCTGCAGCTGCCGCAGGACCTGCGCGTTTTCTGGAATTTGGCGGAATTGAATAGAATTCAGAATTAAATTAGAATTAAATCAAAATTAAATTAAAATTAAATTAAAATTTAATTTAAATTGTTTTGTTTCAAACACCTTCGCGCCGGCAACTTGATCGGATTCGACGGAAGGCCGGAGGCCTTTCGCAGCCGCGGGCGGCCGCGGAGTCTGTAGTGTCTAGACACCGAAGAGCGCCCCTTGGAGGTGAACTTCTTGCCCTGCGGAAAGCAGTTTCAAATGAATTAATTAATTCAATTAGTTCACTTAATTCAATTTATTATTTATTTGTTAAATGAGCTAAATCTATTGAAGGAGTTCTTTTCGGAGTTGCTTTTGCTGCGGTTCGAAAGAACACCTTCAGCCCCCACGCACATCTTCCTCCGTCCTGAACTGCAAACCCTAAACCCTAAACCCTAAACCCTAAACCCTAAACCCTAGACCCGACAGGCAGGAGCAAAGGCTCACCATCAGCTGCTGCTTGTAGTGCTTTTCGCTCATCTCTAAACCCGCCAGCCCGGGGGGCCACCAAGGGCCCCGAGGGCCCCAGGGGGCCCCTGGGGCCCCGGGGGCCCCCCTTTTGGGGGGCCCCAGTGGGGGGGCCCCCCATCTGGACAAGAAGGCAGCTGGGGGCCCTTTGATTTGCTGTTTTGGAGAGAGGAGGGGCTTCCCAGCTGCAGCCCAGCTGCTGCTGCTGCTGCTGCTGCTGCACCTGCTGCTGCTGCTGCTGCTGCAGGGGCAGTGTCGAGGCGCCAAGGCCCCCAGAGAAGGAGAGGCGCAGAAAAGAAAAGACTGGGTGGGCTCTGCAGCAAAATGGAGCAGCAGCAGCAGCAGCAAGACAAGAAGAGGGGGGCCCCCGGCGCGGATCATTGAGTGTGTGGGAAGTCGGGGTGAGGGGGTGGCATTAAGTGTCTTTTTTGCGGGTATTTTGCGCAACTTTGTTTTTTAATTTATTTAATTTAAAATAAATAAAATAAATACAGAAGAAGACGGCTGGGGGCTGCAGGGCCCCGCAGAGCTGCTGCTGGGCTCCGTGGCCGACAGCAGCGGGTGGTGGCTCTGCGGGGATCTGCAGCAGCGGGGGGAGAAGAGGAAAATAAAAACAAATAAGAAATAAATAAAACGGAGAATTATAAAAAATAAATTCAGAAAGTATTCCATTTAATTCTTTAATGCTTTGAAACTCGCGAGTTTCGCGTTTTGCAGAAGGAACAGCAGCGCCAAGTGGGGTGGCGCGGCGCTGTTGGCTGCTGCGCGTTTCAAGAAGAGGAGATAATAAACAGTTTGATTTAATTAAATCTTTTGGAAGAATTCTAATTTGCAAAACAGTTTTCAATAAAGCGGAAAAGATCGGAAAAATAAGCTGTCTATACACCCCAGCCCCCAGCAGCCTCTCAAGCTGCGCAGGCTAACCGCGCGCGCTGCTGCTGCCGGGCTCTGCTGTTTCCCGTTTCTTTTCTTTTCTTTTTCGCAACAAAACTCCCAAATTAACGAAATAAGCAATAAAAGCTGCAACACACCAGCAGCAGGCTTTCCGGGCTTCCGTTTTGCTGCTCCTGACGCCCCTGCTGCCGCCGGACCCAGTGCTGCTGCTGCTGCTGCTGCTGCTGCTGCCTCTACCCGTTCTCCCGCCTCTCTCGCTTCCTTCCGGGCTTTTAGCGCCTTTTGCCCCCCGCTGCTGCTCCCCGCCTCCCCCGCTGCTGCTGCTGCTGCTGCTGCTGCTGCTGCTGAGGATGGCTGGGTGTCTGAGCAAGCTGCCGCTGGTGGCTGCGGGCAGCGGCGCTGCTGCGCTGCTGCTGTGCGCGCCCTCGGCGCTGTCGCTGGCGCCCTCGCTGCTGCAGCAAACTGACAACAACCCTTTGCTGCTGCTGGGGCTGCGGGCCTTTTTGAACTGCAGCTTCGGGGCCCTTTTTGGCTCCAGCGTTTGGGTCCTTTTCGTGGGCTCTCCCCTGCTGCGCAAGCACCTCAACAGGAAGCTCCTCAGTACGTGCTGCTGCTGCTGCTGCTGCGGCTGCTGCTGCTGCTGCTGCTTCTTGGCGCGCCTCGCTGCTGCTGCTGCTCCCCCTGCCAACCTGTTGCTGCTGCTCTGCCCGTGTCCTGCTGCTGCTGCTGCGCCTTCTCCCGCTGCTGCTGCTTCTTGCCGCGTCTCTCTGCTGCTGCTGCTGTTCCCCGCGCTACCTTGCTGCTGCTGCTCCCCGTGTCTCCCTGCTGCTGCTGCTCCACGTGTCTCCCTGCTGCTGCTGCTCCACGTGTCTCTTGCTTCTGCTTCCTTCCGCTTGCATGCGCAGCTGCTTCTGCTTGGGGGCTGCCTCTTGCAAACGTAGGGTTTAGGGTTTAGGGTTTAGGGTTTAGGGTTTAGGGTGTATAGGGAGGCCTGCAGATGTGCCTTTTGCCCGCATTGAGAGCAGCAAATGGCGAACAGCTGTTTTATTTGTTTATCAATTTATTGTCCATTTATTTCTAATTAACTGTTTATCGTTTATGTATTTGTTTATTTATTTTATTGATTTATTTTATTTTAATTAATTTATTGCCCGACATAAAAAATGCCTTTGCAGATCAATGTGGATCATTTGTTGGTCAATTAAAACTTTTGATTTAAACAATTAGAAGGTTTCATTTGAATAAGAAAGAAAAGAATTCCTTTTGAAAGCCCGACTTCCCTGCTGCTGCTGCTGCTGCTGCTGCGCTGCAGTTGCGTTTCAGTCGGACCACTTGTCGCTGTTTTCTTGTTTTTCTTCTGTCTTTTCTTCTTTGCTGTTTTTCACAACTTGTGAATTGGCTTTAAACCACAAAAGACTCCAAGCTGCTGCATGCGCCAGTTTGCTGCTCAACGTCGCCAACTCCTGCTTCTTCTTCCCCAAGCAGGTCAGCAGCAGCAGCAGCTGCTGCTGCTGCAGCAGCAGCGGTGGCGGCGGCGGGGGTAGGGGCAGCAGCAGCGGGGGTGGTGGTAGCACCAGTGTGTAGCGGCAGCCGCAGCAGCAAGTGTAGCAGCAGCAGCAGCAGCGGTGGTAGCAGCAGCAGCAACGGTCGTAACAGCAGCAGGTGTAGCAGCGACGGCAGCAGCAGCACGTGTAGCAGCAGCAACAGCAGGAGCAGATGTAGCAGCAGCAACAGTAGGAGTAGGTGTAGCAGCAACAGCTGCAGCAGCTGCGGCAGCAGCTGCAGCAGCTGCGGCGGCAACTGCTGCTGCAGCTGCAGCAGCTGCTGCTGCAGCTGCAGCAGCTGCAGCGGCGTACGATTGCCTGGTTCGGTGCGCATGCGAGTGTGTAAATGAACTTGGTCAATTTGCTGCTGCTGCTGCTGCTGCTGCTGCTGCTGCTGCTGCTGGCTCGCAGGTGCGGCTGCTGCAGGAAAGGGAAATAGCAGCAGATAAACTGGGGGCGAAGCCCGACGAGCCTGTTGCTGCAGTGGTGGCTAAGGCGGAAGCAGCAGCAGCAGGAGCAGCAGCAGGAGCAGCAGCAGCAGCAGATAGTCCTGCAGCAGCAGCAGCGAAGTTCCTGCTGCTGCAGAAGCGCTTCAGGCGCATGCATGCGCTGGGCATGGCTTCTTCTTGCTTGTCTTTGAGCTGCCTCCTTCCCTTTTTGTTTGCATAAATAAATAAAATAATTAAATTAATTAATTTAATTAATTAAATAAATTAATTAAATTAACTTAATTGAATTAATTTGCTAATTGGAATTCGTCAGAGGACCATGTATCACCAGCCTCTGCCCCCACTAGCCCGCATGCGTCAGCTGCACAAACCCTAAACCCTAAACCCTCAGCTGGCTCGCAAAGTCGAAGCCCCAAACCCTCGTGAGTTCCCGCTGGCGGGCTGCCGAGGGTTTTGCAGCAGCTGGTGCTGCGGGCCTAGGGTTTAGGGTTTGGGGTTTAGCAGGCTGCAGGCAGTGGTCTGTGGCTGCTGCAGGGTTTAGGGTTTAGGGTTTAGGGTTTGGCGCTGCATGCGGCTCTTGGGAAAAGAAGGGCCTGACGAACTTTGGGGTTTTGCTGCGCGCTGCTGCAGCTGCTGCCAGACACTAATAATAATAAGTCTTGTATTTATTGTTTTACTTTCCAAATTAATTATTATTTTTCTTTTTTTCTTTTTCGATTTAAATTCACTTTTCGCTTTCCCCTGTTCAGCTTCGCGCCGGCCTTCAGGTGTACGTACACCGCAGCAGCGCACTTGCATGCGCTCCGGCGGCGACTCTTTTGTGTTGTTTCCATTTATTTATTTATTCCAATTAATTAAATTAAAATATATTATAATTAAAGTGTGTTTTAATTGTGCATTAAGTGTTTAATTTCTCGAAAGACTCTCCACAGAGGCTCGGGAAAAGCCAAAAGAAAAGTGAAAATGAAAAGGAAAAGGAATTGAAAGAATTAAGAAGACCAAACTTGCTGCAGCAGCGCGTGAGCAGCCTGGTCCCTAGGGTTTAGGGTTTAGGGTTTAGGGTTTTGATGCATGCACTGCAGAGAAACCTGCACTAAATGCACATATGGCGGGTCTGCATGCATTTAACTTCATTAAAAAGAACAGAGTTTTGCATGCAAAAGAAGTTGAACTTTTAGTTCTTCAATTGCATGCATTGAATTTCATTAAAAAGAAGAGTTTTGCATGCAAAAGAAATTAAACTTTTAATTCATTCCTCATTTGCATGCAAGTGGCTGGCAGCTGCGTGGCAGCAGCAGCACAGCGGTATGCCTACGACCCTAGTGATTAGGGTTTAGGGTTTAGGGTTTAGGGTTCAGGGTTCGGAGTTCTATGCATAGACAAGTGCTGGCGCGCAAGGCTTGAATCCCTAAGGAGCAAAGCGAAGAAGCAAATAAAACAGAGTTTAGGGTTTAGGGTTTAGGGTTTTAGGGTTTGTGTTTACCTTTATTGTCTAGCATGGCAGCTGCAACAGAAAATATTTTGTAATGGGTCATCCCTATAGTTGGACTCTGAAAGATAGTTTTTGCTGCTGCCGGAAGCTGTGCAGCAGCAGCAGCAGCAGTTGCTTCTATTGCTGCAGCTGTTGCTGCTGCAGTAGCTGCAGCGGCCATAAGCTGTACTGCCGTTGCAGCAGGGACTGCTGCTAGTGATGCAGTAGCAGCAGCAGCTGCAGCCCCCATGCTGCAGCAGCTGCTGCCGCACCTGTAGCAGCTGCAGCAGCAGCTCCTGCTGCTGCTGCAGCAGCACTGTCTGCCTCACCTGCTACAGCAGCAGCAGCAGCTCCTGCTGCAGCAGCAGCAGCTCCAGCAGCAGCAGCAGCAGCAGCTACTGCGGCTTTGGGTCTTCGTGTTGGTATTTAGCAATGAGCTGCTGCGCATAAGCCAAAGGGTTGATTGCCTCTTGTTCTGCGGTGCCTTCAATAGCTGCGAAGACACCCCACGGGGTGTCTGCCCAGAGTCGGGCATATTTGTTTTTCAAAAATGAATAATCTCCCGTTTCCAAGTCGCGGGCCCAGCGGTCGAAGGACTGCAGCAAACAAGTCATCATTATTGATTAATTAGTCAATTAGTTCATTTATTTATTTATTTATCTATTTATTTGTTTATTTCTTTGTTTTGGTGCTGGTTTTGCTTTTGTTCGTTTGTTTGCTCGTTTTTCGCTTGGCTTTCGCTTTCTGCACTTCCTGCATGCGCTGCATGCAGAAGGCTTCAGGCAGCAGCAGCGATTTGAACAGCAGCGAGAACAAAATGGAAGATTATAGCCAAATAAATCTAAAATTAAAACAAATAAACTAAAATAAATACTAATAAAGGCAAAAAGACAAACAAAGCAGCGCCTCGCAGCAGCACCTGCCGCAGCAAGTGCAAACGGAGCAGCAGCAGCAGCAGCAGCAGCTGTCCATACACCTGAACTGGGCAGCAGCAACCGAGATAAACTTCTCCTTTAAACTTCCAACACTTATATAAATAAAGCTTTTGACTCTGCACACTATATTCAACTAATTAAATCTCCTTTTTGCATATTCTAGATCAGTTGAGGCAATTAAAAAAGAAACAGATATATGCATTTATTTGCATGCATATATATTTACCTGCACATATGCAACACAAGTATATATGTTAAGTATATATTACAAATAAATTATTTTTCTTTTATTTTCATTCATATAGAAGATACACTTGCTGTGTATGTACAGCTGAATGCACAAGAAATGGCGCGCATGCAGCTGCACTACTCAGGTGTACGTACACCTCTGGCAACAGGGATTTCTGCATTTAGGCCGCAAAAGATTTCCACTTCTTTTTAAACTCACCCCTCTGCCCCGCTGCAGTCTGTAGAAGCAAACTGTGTGGTAAACTGCCCGCAAAGCTGCTTCAGAAGGCAAAAAAATCTCCGCCGTGGCAACTTGAAAAATGCTCTTCAGAGGGCTGCAGCAGCACTCCGCAAATAAAAGACAAATGGGCTTTTAAGTTTAGTTTTCAAATATACAAGTTAGGCTTTAAGTTAGCAATAGTGTTTAAACTTATTATCCTTTTATACATGTTACACAACAATACATATTTGCACAAATGTCTGCAGTAAAAGTCCGCACACATAGTTGTGCTGTACGTACACCCCATGGTGTACATGTACATACACCCCACGGTGTACGTAAGCGAGTGTATATGCACAAATGCAAATTTGGAAATATAAAAGTTTACAGAAGTCTTTTAAGATTCCCAAATGTAAATGCATGCAGCCATCTGCAGATAAACTTTGAAGAAAATAATCTGAATCTGCATGAACATATAAATATTTAAAAATGTAGGGGTCTGTAGATAAAGTCAAATGCAGATAATACATATATATATTTATACTTATTTATCTGTATTTATAATGTATATATTTATATACATTTATAAATATATACTTATATTTATATATATATAAATATATATTTATATATATATTTATATATATTCATAAATATATATGTATTTATTTATATATAAATATATATATAGAGGTAAGATATAAAGATATGCACTTGTCGGCATGCATCCAAACACACAAACGCAAGAACAATGTACAGACACTCCATAAACAAGAACTTGAAAACAAGTTTGGATTTATTTCTTTTAAAGTTGTTTGTTTAGATTTATTTCTTTTAAACACCAATTTATATTTGCACATGTGCCTAAGTAGGCCTTTATTGACTTATAGTTTGATGTAATGTTTCGGAAATATGTTTGGACAAAATGCACAACAGCCACTGGCAAAAGAAGCCACTGGGGAGAATCTGCGGCCCTTTCTCCCTTGCTGCATCACAGTTGACTTAAAAACGAATTAAATTGAATTTAAAATAAATTAAAAACAAATTAAAAACAAATTAAAAGCAAAGTAGTTGAGTTTCGCGGCTGTTGCAGCAGCAGCTGGGCTGCTGCATGCGCAGCAGCGCACCTGAAGAAAGGCAAATGGAGGCGGAGTTTGAGTTCTTCTTCTCTTTCGTCTAATTCTTCTTCTCCCAACAAAGAAACAAAAAAAGAATTATAATTTATTTGCAAAGCCACTGGGTTTTCCGCAGAAGGCACTGAAACTGACAACAGCAGCGCCTGCAAGTCGCACACTCAAATGCAGCTTTTCGAAATTCTGAATTTGAATTTGAACGGAAACGCGAGATTAAAGGTTTCCAGCTGTCTGTACACCCGCATGTTCAGAAATAAAAAAGGAAATTGAGCCGTTTGTGCTTTTTTGAGTTTAATTGTATTTCCTCGTTATCTCTGGATGCAAAGACGAGCCACAAAGACTCATATTCATGTATAGACGCGGGCGCATGCAAAGAAGCTTCTTTTGCATGCATGCGCATGCATGCGCATGCATGCGCATGCACAAACATGCAGAATATATCCATTAGAGGCTCTTATTCTAATTTGAGTGCATGCGGGGCGTCGGGCAATCACAAAAAGGCAAAAGCCATTATAAATCCGCATGCAAATGCAAGAAAGTCTGCATTCAAACAAATCAACTGAAGTGCATGCAGAAGCTTCATGCAAAATGAATATTAAAAACACGAAAAAACGCTTTTAAATATACTTATTTCGAGATGGTGGACAGCAGCAAACAAGCAAAGCAGGGGAGTGGGCAAATGCATGCATTTTGCATGCATTAGACCCCCTAATAGTCTGCATTTATTTCGGCGTTTTGCACTGCATTCTGGATTTAAAAATACCATTTAAAGTATTTATTTCTTTGAAAGATCTATTTGATTTTATCTTGCAAAAATGCACCTCTCGAGTCATAGTCAGAGTCAAATCGAAAAACGGCGAAGACCCCACGGCCGCTGGGGAAAGCCCAAAAAGCAGCTGCAGATCTGCACCCTTGCAAGTGACTTCGTAGCTCACTTCGCGCTGCAGTCGAAGCAGCAAAACCCTAAACCCTAAACCCTAAACCCTAAACCCTGAACCCCAAACCCTGCATCCTGGATCTTCAACCCTGACACCTGAACTCTTGCAAACACGCGTGCATGCAGATATCCCGGCAAAAGTGCAAGTTGCAATTAAAATGTAAATGCAAATGGCACTGTTTTGGCAAACATGAGTTAATAAAAAGGCTTTCTTTAGTTCAAATGGCTAATATTGCATGCACTTGCACTCGCATGCACTTGCATGCAGCAGCACGGAGCAAAACGAAGATGAAAGGACCTTTTATCTGCATTTCCAATCATTAAAAGCGCATGCAAATCATTGGCATGCGCGCAACTGAGTGCAGCAGATTGTGCAGATGAAAAGCAGCAGCTTTCCCATTACAAAAGTGCAAAAAGTGCTGCATGCGCATGCAAATTGTGGGTGTGGCCTCGCGCCTCACAGCCCCAACTTGGAGCTAAATTTAAATAATATAAATAATATAAATAATTTAAATAATTTAAATAATTGTTTTCTCACTTGCGTCAAAATAAGCAGCATATCTCTCGCAGTTCCATCATCAACAGTTACGGGGCCCTTGACAGCCAAAGAATAGACAAAGGGATTTGAACTTGAGGAATCCAGACGCCGGGAGGCTCTCAGCTGGATATACCTGCCAACCTGAAGAAGAAAATAAAAAATAAATTAATTTCAAATTATAAATGCGCAAATAATCATGCATGCACGCCACTTGCTGCGCATGCATGCATGCCTGAATGCATGCACAGATATCTACGCATGCATGCATGCGTTAAATTACTCTACGCGCATGCGTGCATGCACAGCTGCATCACTGCGAAGGCGCTGCATGCATGCATGCAAGGCTGCATGCAGGAACAGCAGCACGAATGGCTGCAAGCCTGCGTGCATGCACGCTCCTGCAGCTCCCTGCATGCACGCACGCACGCATGCATGCATGCATGCATGCATGCATGCATGCACTTGCTGCTGCGGACGTGTCTGTGCTGCAGGCGAAAGGCCACGCCCACGGCCTCGCAGGTGGGGGGGAAGACTGGGTCTTTGCCGGGCCTGGAAGCTGCAAACCATTCGGCCACTTTGGCTTTGACTCGCCCGTAGCCGCGAGCGCCTAAGTCGTTTAGCCGCAGCTCTTTGCCTGCACACTCACAGCACTTTGCTGCACTTTGCATGCGTTTTGCTGCACTTTGCATGCGTTTTGCTGCACTTTGCATGCGCTTTGCATGCACTTCGCTGCACTTTGCATGCAACTTTGCTGCACTTTGCAACTTTGCTGCACTTTGCATGCAGCTTTGCTGCACTTTGCTGCACTTTGCATGCAGCTTTGCTGCACTTTGCATGCAGCTTTGCTGCACTTTGCTGCACTTTGCATGCAGCTTTGCTGCACTTTGCTGCACTCTGCATGCAACTTGCATGCAGCTTCGCTGCCTTTTCACTTCTTTTCCTCAAATGCACGAGTTGCTGCTTCCATCGTCATGTTAGAGCATTCAGCAACTTGCGCATGCATGCATGCGTGCATGCATGCATGCGTTTGCATGCTTCTGAATAAACGCTTTCTTTTCTTGTCTTACAGCGCTGCATGCATGCATGCATGCATGTGCATGCATACTCATAAACAAATGCTCTCCCTTCTTATCTTATAGCGCTTCATGCATGCATGCATATACTTGCATATTTGTAAACAAATACTCTCCATACAAATCAGTAATGCACATTTATGTGGACTTTTGCGTGTTTGCATGCGCATGCATTGCATGTAAATGTACATCAAAGTGCGCATGCATGCAAAGTTACATGATTTACGTGAATATAGATGATGGATCTGCGCGTAGGCATGCCTATACAAGCAGCTTTCTGCTGCTGCAACTGCTGCTAGAGCTACTGCTGCAGCTGCCGCTGCAGCTGCTGCTGCAGCTGCAGCTGCTGTGGCCATCTGCCTGTTTTGCACTGCTAAAATAGCAATTTAAAGATTCTTTTATTTATTTGTTGCTTAAGGAATTAAACAAAAAATAAATGAATTAAATGATCAATTTCTTTTTTCAAAAATCAGAAAATACCTGCTTCGCAAGGCCCGTCTATGGCTATTGGGTATCTGAGGGAATGGCTGGCGTTGATTTCAGATTCTTCATCAGAAGAAGAATCTGTTTCGTATTTATTTCTTTTCTGAATACAAAAACAAAAAACAAAAAAGAAACAAGTTATAATGAATAATAAACGAGCCACGCAGAGCATTCTTCTTTGTATGGCGCTGGCTCTAATGCAATATATATATATATATGTGTATATATATATGTTTACTTATTTGCATTTATTTCTTTAAAAGGAAATACACAAATATACATATATATATGTTATATATTCATTTATTTATATACACTGATATGTATTCATAGTCAAATCTTCCATTAAAAATGAACAAAAATAAACACCACCCCAAAAATAGAAAAATCTGTGGAAAGAAATGCATTTGGAATTTAAATTTTCTTCATTTTTATTTTCTGAAGTTCGCTGAACTTGTTCTTTCTGCGCAGCAAAGGCCCAAAAGAGGCCAAAAGAAATGCCATTTCGTGCAAATGCATGCGAACAAATCCCAAGAATCTTCAAACTCTTTCCAAATAAACACAAACCCCACCAAAAAGTCCACAGCAGGCCTCTCCACAGCACAGCGGCAAGGCTCATTCCCATGCAAGGGGCAGCCCGTTCGCGCCTGCAGCGCCTGCGCCCTCCGCTGGGCCCTGCACGCAAACCCTAAACCCTAAACCCTAAACCCTAAACCCGAAACCCTAAACCCTAAACGCCAAACCCTCAGCCTTGGAGCCTAGCATTATTAGCTGGAGCCGTTCGCAAGATTTTTGCGTCTTTGGCACCTCATAGTGAGTAAGAGTCAGCTAGCTAGCTAAGCACCTGCCTAGCTAGCTAGCTAACTAGCTGCCTAGCTAGCTAGCTAGCTCGCTAGCTAGCCAGTTGTCTATCACCAAGATGGAAAAGATGCTAGCCAGCTCGCTAGCTCGCCTCCTAGCCGGATAGCTGGCTATGTGTAGAAGCAGCTAGCGAAATGGCTAGCTGGCTATGTTATTGTCTAGCTAGCTAGCTAGCTAGCTAGGTAGCTAGCTAGCTAGCTAGCTAAAGTTTGGGGTGCTTACCGATTTTGCCTTTTGGGCATAACCTCTGGCTCGTAGCTTTTGATGGAATCATCGCTCGAGTCAGACCGGTCCCTTAAGTCTACTGCGCAGCAGCAGCAGCAGCAGCAGCAGCAACAGCAGCAACAGCAGCAGCAGCAGCAGAAGCAGCGGCAGCACCAGAAGTAGCAGCAGCATCAGCAGAAGAGTCTGTGGCAGCGGGGGGCTAGAAGCACGCTACTGTCTGCCGAAATGCAAACAAACTAAAGCATGCCCAACCCTGTTCAGCACACTACAAAGCCTAGGGTTTAGGGTTTAGGGTTTAGGGTTTAGGGTTTAGATCCGTACGCGGCCGCGCGTTTCCCATTCTTTTCGTCCCAAAGAAATGCACCTGAGGCAGACGGAGCAGCAGCAAGCCAAGCGAATATAAAGCAGCAAAGACTAAATTGAAAAATAATTCAGAAAAATACTTTAGAAATAAATTTATTTGATTTAATATCTTTTTCAAAATTATGAAATTTCCTGAAAAGCTAAGCCGCTTTTAAAACAGGCAGAAAGCAGCAGCGGAATTTAAAGAGGCTCGGCAGCAGATCAAATGCAAAAAAAGCAAACAGAATTAATTAATTAATTAATCAATTGATTAATTAATTAATTATTTAATTACTTGAATCCCAAACAAAGTCAAAACATATTCTGCAAATAATTCCGCCTCTTGTTCGTTTTCAAATTCGAAAGAAAGAGACGCAGTTTCCCTTCGGTCGGTCCGTACGTACACCTCAGCAGACTGCAGCATTTCAAAGAATAAAAGTTTGCATGCATTTCATTAACTGAATCTTTTATTTATTCATTAAATGCGGTGCAAATGAGTTAATCTGAATACGAAAGAGGCAATTAAAGCAAAAATATAATTTGCAAAATATATAATTAGCAAAAAGTATAATCGGCGAAAAATGTAATTTAGATTTTCCACTAAATTGGAGTGTCTGTACACCTGAACGAAATGGGCACAGGAGCGGCGCAGCAAATTGAACTGCATTAATCCAAGCTACACCCCAAACACATAATTAAATGAAAAGCAAAAACAGAGTAAGCAGCAGCAGCAACAGCGTAAGCAGCAGCAGCACCAGCGCCAGCGTAAGCAGCAGCACCAGCGTAAGCAGCAGCAGCACCAGCGTAAGCAGCAACACCACCAGCGTACGCAGCAGCAGCAACAGCGTAAGCAGCAACACCCCCAGCGTTCGCAGCAGCAGCAGCAGCACAAGCTGCAGCAGCACCAGCATACACAGCAGCAGCAGCAGCGGCAGCAGCAGCACCAGCAGCAGGGCGCACGGTGTCCTTGCGCTGAATGTATCTGATGCTGGCAGTGGAGATTTGTTTGAGTTCTTTGCCGGCTCTGTCGCAAACCAAAATGCAACAAAAAGGATCATTGAGAAGTTTGAGGAGAAACTCCTGCGGCTTTCCCAGCAGCTGTACGTACACCCGAAAGTTCCGGTTCCGCAGCTTCGCGCGGCTGGGCGTAAACCGCCGCACTGTGGGGCCCCTGCGGCTTGCTGCTGCTGCATGCAACAGCAAATTGTTCACATTTGTTTATTTAAAACTTATTTCAAAACACTTTCCAACACTTTGTGTCTCTCGCCGCTTTCAAACTCCCCACACTCTGCCTCCCGCTCCCCCCAGCCCACTCGCGGCGCGCAGCCCTTTCGGTCCCCAACGAAAGCGCTGCAGCTTCGCCTAAACCCTAAACCCTAAACCCTAAACCCTAAACCCTAAACCCTAAACCCTAAACCCTTTGTGGTAGCTACAAAGCACAGGCATCCTACACAAACAAGAGGCGTCTTAGGTGAATGTAAGAGCTGGAACCAACACGAATTCTGTAGCGTACTGCCACAAACACCTTTTAGGGTTCAGGGTTTAGGGTTTAGGGTTTAGGGTTTAGGGCATTCGCTGCATCCCCAAGGAGGCCAAGGGCGTCAGCGGGAGATAAAGACTTCCAGCAGCATTTGGAAAGTCTGAGAATCCGGAACTGAATTAAAAAGATGAAGCTAAATTCAAAAGGTGAAATTAAACCGAAACAATGAAATTAAATCAAAAGATAAATCAAATCAAATATAAAAAAACTGCTGTCTCACCCCCAACCTCCCCCCGCCCCGGGCTATTCTTGGGGTCAAAAAACAGCACATTTTCCAGCAGCCATTTTTCCTCCGGCTGCGGGTCTTCAGCTGCAGCAGCAGAAGCAGCGCCCCCCATTTGAACCCCGACCTGCTGCTGCTGCTGCTGCTGCTGCTGCTGATGTTGCTGCTGCGGCTGGAAGTGCGGGTGATGAGGGAATGGTGGGTGGTCGTTGCATCAGTCGGCGGGCTGCAGCGGAAGAAAAGCTGCAGCTGCTGCTGCTGCAACGCTGCTGCTGCTGCTCGTGTTGCTGCAGCTGCTGCTGCTACTGCTGCTGGCGTTGAGCGTGTTGCTGCACCTGCTGCTGATGTTCCTATTGTTGCTGCTGCTTCTGCTGCTGCCGGTGGTGCTGCTCGCGTTCTTGCTGCTGCTGCTGGCCTCGCAGGTGTTGCTGCTATAGCTGCTGCTGCTGCTGCTGCAGTTGCTGCAGGGGCTGCTGCTACGTTTTGAAAGCTTCAGGGATTATATGGGGCGGGCTTTGCTGCTTGAGGTGAGATAGAGCTGAATATCATTCAGCAACGAGGCTGTTCAGTGGGAGCAAATGCGCACAAAACGGAACTTCGCCAAATTTTTGCGAATTGATCTTTCCCGAAATTAAACTAAATATAAAACAATTTAAAACAGAATTTAAAAGAAGCAAAATGAGGACAGAAACGGAGCGAGAGGGAGAAAATCGGGCTCCAACTCTTGCATGTTCTGTGTTGCGGTTCGGGTGAGCCACTGGTCTGCTTCCCGCGCGTGCAGATCCCGACAAAAAACCACTATCTTAATTGAATTAAGTAAAAACTATTTGAATAATAATAGAATATTCACTAAAATAGAGCAATTCAGAAGGTGTGGGAGGAGAAAATGACTTGTGGCTGCACACGCGCGTTTCGCCTGCTGAGGCGTCGATTCAAGAGAAGAAAGCAGGCGCTAATTTCATTTAACTCGTATCCTGTTTCTTTTTTATTCTTTTATTTCATGTTTTTATTCCTTTAAACAAATAAAAGAAAGATATTACGGGATATTTCCCGCTTCTTGGGGCGCAGCTCTGCACAGAGTATGCGTCGCTTTTTGCTCCATTCTACTGGCTATTAATATTCAACTAATTTAGCAGCCAATTCGACAGGGAAGCCACTAATATATTTTGCATGCAATCTGCAGAAACTGGAATAATTTTTAAAGTCAATTTTTTAGGCGCTGCATCGTGGGCTTCCCTTGCATGCATCTAAGTCCACGCGAACATATGTAGTTTCTTGCCAATGAATGTTGGAATGCAGCAATTATTAAATAATAAAAAAGAAACATAAATAGAATTACATTTACAGGACTCAAGACTCTTTGAGGGCTAGGCCTATATTGTTTTCCTTTTCAATTTCAACTTGGCGTTGTTTTCTTGCATCTGAGTAACCCTAAACCCTAAACCCTAAACCCTAAACCCTTCACACACAGCCCTTGGTGTGATTCAGAAGTTGATAAAGAGGAAGTTGTTTCGGTTTCCGGGGCCTTTTCAGCAGCAGCAAAACTGCATTTCGACTTACTTCGACCTGAGTTAAATTTCACCAGCTCCGGGATTTAGGGTTTAGGGTTTAGGGTTTGGAGTGCGTTACTCGCTCTCCTCCTCCTCATCACTTGAATCCTGTCTCTTTGCTGCTTCCAGAAGAGACTCGAAATGGTTGACTTTTTCGAAGAGAGAATCAACTTGACTTTCTAGGTTTTGGAGTTGCTTTGCTGCTGCGCCTTCGCGTTCTGCTGCTGCTGCTGCTGCTGCTGCTGCTTGCGCCTCCAACTTCTCGAGCCTCTCTTGAGCCGCAGCAACCTGCTGCTTCATGGCCTTGGCCTTGGCCTCCACGGCGCCCCAAGCAGCCGCTGCTGCTGCAGTCTTCTCAGCAGCAGCAGCAGCAGCAGCATTTACCTTTCCAACTGTTCCTTTTAAAGTTTTATTAACATTTAAAACTTCATTTCTTCTTTCGTTGCTGTCGCCAATCACTAATTGCAAATCCCCCACTGCCTGCCGCAGCCCTGCCAAGTCTAAGCTGCTGCAAACAGCAGCAAGGCGGTAAATTGCGCCTTCGCCCCCGCTTCCGTCCCCTGCCCGCAGCAGAGAAACGCAAACACGAAACAGGGTTTAGGGTTTAGGGTTTAGGGTTTTGAGTTTTGGGTTTTGGCGCAGGGTTACGCGCCCAAACCGCAGAACTGAAGCGCCAAAGTTTGGCGCCTAAGTTGCGGGCAAACTGGGGTGGTAAACAGCAGTAAAACTTCGAACTCAGGGTTAGAGCTAAGGGTTTAGGGTTTAGGGTTTAGGGTTTGGGGTTACCTGCGGCAAGGATGTGCAGCACATTGTCTGGGTCCCCAGTTGCGACGGCGTGGCCGTGAGATGTGGGGCCCTCGAGAGGACAGAGCAAATTGATTTCAAACCAAGAAGAGACTTCGCAGTCGAATGCGTTTAAATCTGGCCCGCACACGCCCAAACCCTAAACCCTAAACCCTAAACCCTAAACCCTCGACCCTAAATTCTAGGCGAAAGGCGCGCGTGTAACCCCTCGTTGGAAAGGGTTTAAGAGCGTCAGCTGGGTTTTATCTACTTTAAATTAAAATAAAAGATCCACAAAATAAAAAAAGAAAAAGAAATGGACAACTGACGAACCGAAAAACTCAACCTCCCAGCCCAGCCAGTTCCGCCCGCTGCCCCCGAAAATGAAGCAGCGAGAGCCAGCAGCAGTGGCAGAGTGTCTGTTCAGCAGAGGAAAACCACAAAAATAGAATTGATACAAGTAAATGTTTCAAAATATAAATAAATATAAATAGACAACAAAATGAAACAGATTTGCACTCAAATCCGCAGCAACGGAGGCAAAGTTGTTGTGAAAAGGTAGAAAATGATTTATTTATTCCGTGGAAATAGTTGCTTTATTCCCCTCTCTGCAAAAGCCCCCAGTAAACTACAAAGGGAATGAGGCATCAATTTAATGAAAATGAAAAATCATATTGAGTTAAATAAAGAAAAAGAGTTGCAGGAACTCACCCGTGCCTCTTGGCCGGCACAGGCCCCGCAGCGTCTTGAATTTGAATCCACTTTTGCTGCTTCGAGCTGACTGGCAGCAGCCACAGTTCGTTTGTGTCGCTGCTGCTCACTAAACCCCCAAATAATAATAAGTGCTGCATTTGTTTTGCACTTTTGCTGCTGTGGGGCCCCACAACCACGCTGAGGCTGTGGTGGCTCCGCGGCGCCGGAGGGTCTTCAGCAAGCACTTCTTCCCATTCCCCTGAGGCGCCCATCCTAAACCCTAGACCCTAAACCCTAAACCCTAAACCCTAAACCCTAAACGCTACACCCTAAACCATGACCAAGTGACACAGGAAAGCGCTGGGGGTCCCGAAACCTCGAGCTGCTCATCTGACGAGCTCGCAGCACCTAATGAACCTCAAGCCCTAAACCCTAAACCCTACACCCTTAGTCCTAAACCCTAAACCCTAGGGCGCGAAGCGGCGTCGCACCGCGTACATCGCAGCTACTTTGGCCGCGTGCAGCTGTACGTACACCCCACCTACCTCTGCAGCAAGAGCCCCACCAAGAACAATCTGCAACTTTCAGCAGCAGCAGCAGCAGCAGCAAATGGAAACAAAGCTCACCGTCTACAAACTTGAAAGTGTCTTGCAGAAGTGAGCCTCCCTCTGCTTGACCCCCGAAGATGAAAAGGGCGTTTGCATGCGGCGCTGCTGCTGCAGCGTGGTGGCAGCGGGCCTGGGGTGTACGTACACCGCGGCTCAGCTGCCTCCACGAACTCTTGGACAAACTGTAGAACCAGCTTTCATTTAAAAAAGACTCTGAAGAACTCAAACCTCCAAACAAAAGGGCCCCCAACTCCCCCCCGACTGCAAACGCTGTTAAGGATATTCCAGACACAGCTTTGGGCTGCTCTTTGCTCTCCTCGGGGGCCTCAAACCTGCACAAGCAAACCCACTACTACACACACACTGTTAGGGTTTAGGGTTTAGGGTTTAGGGCTTAGGGTTTAGGGTTCAGGGTTCAGGGTTTAGGGTTTGAGCGGCAGCGGGCATCTGGGAGAGCCCGCGCCTCGCCCTCCGCCTCAAATCAAAGCGAAAAAAGAAAAGCCTTTTGAATTTGAGACATTTGAACTTATCAAAAAATAAAAAAGAAAAGATTTAAACTCAAGCCCCACTTTTGTCTTTTCGAATCATATAAGACAAACTCTGGGTGCCCCTCTGCAGACCCTCCAATCCAAAGTCCAATATTTTCGCCCAAGTCCACAGCAGCAAACTTTGAGGCCCCTTCACTCCCCGGCCATTTTGCTGCAAGACTTAAAATGAATCCTGGGGGGGAGCTGCCTTTGCTGGGGGCTCCCCCGCAGGGGCAAACCCCTTGGGGGCCCCCCGGGGGCCCCCGGGGCCCCCCGGGGGGCCCCCGGGGGCCCTGGGGGGAGGGTCTTTCTTGGGTTGGGGAGGCCCAGAGGTCCAGGTTCTTGAGAGACTGCTGCACGCGCTGCTCCTGCGTAGCTCTGTCGCTGCTGCTGCTGGTGCTGCTGCTGCTGTTGCTGCTGCTGCTGCTGCTGCTGGCTTTCCTCTGAAGCCCTTTGGAAGAGTTTTCGTTTGGCTTCAGGTCCCCCGCCTTTCCTTTCTGGCGGGGGGTTTCCGTAAGGCTGTTGGCTGCAGCAGCACTTTTCTTCCCCGCTGCTGCAGCAGCGGGAGCAGCAGCAGCAGCAGCAGCAGCTTCTGGGGACTCCCTGGAGAGCGGGGAAGAGGAACCCGAGCTCATTTGGCTCAACTTTCCGAAGGAACTGGAGGGTGGGGTTGTTGTTATTGCACTGCTGGCTCTGCTCGGCTACACACCCCGGGCAGCTGCGGCTCCAGGGGTTTCTCCCTGATTTGCAGGGTATACAGCTAGCCCGTAATAAAGTATTACTTAAAGTTTATAAAAAAAGCAATAAGAAGTTCAAAGAAAAGCCACTTATGAAGCAGAGAGCCACTGGTTCAGGTGGTCCTTGAGAGGTGACTCGCGATGCGGCTCTGCGCGGCTTGGTCTGCTGCAAAGACAAGAAAACCTAATTAACGGCGGCTTTCTTTAAATTAATAAAGACTTATTGCAATTAAAATAAAGAATAATGTGTGAAATAACCCTAAGGACCCGCCGGGTCAGTGTCTCTAGTCACTTCTTTATAATGGTGCCGTGCCTCGCTGACAGCCCAAGAAACCTAGAAGTTCCGAAAGCCCCCGAAATTCACCCTTTTCTTCTTTTTAAATTCAATCGCAACTTGAAATATTCATAAATTCAAATAAAGCTTCGGCAAAAAGAAGAATTCCAGGTGCGTAAATGTCGGAATCGCTCCTGCGCACTCACCGCGAAGAAACACTGCCGGTCCACTGCTTGCAATGGCGGCTTATTCGCGCTGTTTTCAAATTCAGGAGAATATAGCAAAACAAATCCTATAAACATCAACTTAAATGATAATTTGTCTTTGTTTAATGGCATTTAAAGTCGCAGAATCCGTCAAATCCTCGCGGAGGAGCTAGCCGTCGGCTAGGGCTGCTGGGGCGTTCAAATAACCAGGAAAAAGGTGAATGTCTCGCCTACACACTAAACCCTAAACCCTGAAAGCTAAACTTCAAACCCTAAACCCTAAAACTGAACCCCTAAAACCTAAACCACCGGCCTCAGCCCTCGCCTAGCTGCTGCCCAAGTATGCAGCTGGCACAGCCAAGACAGCGAAAAAACAGCAGCAATAAGCTGGAAACTAAGAAGAAAAACTTGCATTTTGTCATTGGGAGAAACATTTAGACAAAATAAAGAAAAAATAAGATTAAAAAGCGAAAGAAAAATGGAAAAAAAAGCTGCAAAATTGCAAACAATTCAACTTGCAGCTTTTAACAGCAGCTTCCCAGTTCCAGCAATGCAGCTTCCATTCAGATGCTCGCGGCCTCTGGACTGTCTCAGTTTAATTTTATTTAATTGCAGCAGCAAAGATTATCATTTTTTTAAAAAATAATTATTATTTATTTTAAAACGAATAATAATTATTAATTATGCAAAGGGACAAAAGGAATGCCCTTCTGAACAGAATGGGAGTGACGCAGCAAGCCGGTCTGCAGCAGCATTTCTTCTGTTGCAGCAGCTGCTGCTGCTGCTGCCGCTGCAGCTGTTGTCACTGCCACTGCTGGCACTGCTGCGGCTGCTACTGCTGCTATTTCTCCCGCCGCTGCTGCAGTTCTTGCTGCAGTTGCTGCTGCTGTTGCTGCTGCTTTTGCCTTTGTTTCTTCTATTGTTGCTGTTGCTGCTGCTGCTGCTTTCTAGGTGAAAGAACCCCATCCATCGCATTGCGGTTCTGCGCAATGGGACTGGGAATATTCCTGTGCTGCCATTTTGCTGCTGCTGCTGGCTGCAGCAAACAATCAGGCTAAAGAAGAATATCAGGTTTTTTATGCTGCCACTTTGCTGCTGCTGCTGCTGCTGCTGGCTGCGGCACTCCCTCTGTGGGATCCTTACGCCTCTGGGGTGTCTAGACAGCCTCTCTGCTGCTGCAACAGGCGATGTCCCACAAATGCTGCTCATTTCCACTTCAGCAGCAACTAGAAGCAGCAGCACTGCAGCAGCAACTAGAAGCAGCAGCGCTGCAGCAGCAACTAGAAGCGGCAGCAAACAAAGAATCTAGACTGAAAACGGGGCAGCAAGGAGGCAGCAGCAGCAGCTCAAAAGCTGCACAGAGTGTCTCCTGTTTGCATCGGCTAAGACTAAAACATAAATCTATTTCCCCTCTAACAGACACAAAGTTTATTCCTTGAACAGCCCCACTTCAGCACTAAGTGCAGCAGCAGCAGCAGCAGCAGCAGCAAGACAAAGTAAAACGCGTCCCTTAAGGAGCCCACCGGCTGCAGAAGTTCACAAATGAAAGTTTGGCGGGAAGAAAGTGGAAAGCAGCAAACAGTCTTTCGACCTCCACCAACCAACACCCCACCCCACGCTGCTGCTGCTGCTGCTGCAGCAGCCCCGCCGCTGCTGCTGCTGCTGCAGCAGCCCCGCCGCTGCAGGTGCAGCAGCCCCAGCACATCTGCTGCAGGTGCAGCAGCAGCCGCAGCGCCGCAGCCGCAGCACCCGCTGCAGCAGCAGCCGGTGCAGCAGCAGCAGCAGCAGCAGGCGCTGCAGTGGAAAAGCTCAGAACTTCATGGCGTGGGGGGCCATGTTGGCGCGGAGAGTGAAGCGGGTCTTGAGGTACTGCTTGAGGAGCGGGTCTTTGTTGAGAGCAGCAAGAATGGGTTTGTCGATTTGCTGCTGCAGCAGCTTGCGGGCCTCGGGGAGCTGCTGCTGCTGCTGCGCTGCGTCCTGCTGCACGAAGAGCGAAGTGTCGTCTTTGCTGCGCAGCTTGCGCTGCGCGCGCTTCTCGCTGCTGCTGCGCACAAACATCTCCTGCTGCACTCCACTCAAGTCCACTTCGGAAATGTTTATTTTGCTGCTGGTGGCAATGACATAGCGGGGGTTGACGCGGCGCAGCGGGACTCCGTTGACAGCAAAGGGGCCGGTGACCAGCAGCAGCCCGGAGGGCTGCTGCTGCTGCAGACACACCACGCGTTTGCCGCGGAAGCCGCTGCTCAGCAGAATCAAAACTGTTCCCGGAGTTATGCTGCTGCGCAGTTTGCTGCTGCTGCGGCCCTGGGCCTGCCGCTTCAGCGCGATGGCCCGTTTGTTCTTCCGCCGCAGGCGAAAGCGCCGCGCCCCCGCTGCTGCTGCTGCTGCTGCTGCGCTCTTCCCCGCACTCATCTTCCCGCAACTACGCACTTCCAAGCGATTCAATCCCAATTGCGAACCTTTCAGCAGCAAAAGTACCAACCCAGAGGCATGCACAGGCCCCCACCCCCGCCCGAGGGGCGTGGGGTGCGCCCCGCCCGGCCCGCCCTCTGCATGCATGCAAGCCCCATCCCGCGCCCCTACTCCTCTTCTTCAGCAGTTAAACCCTTAATTCTTCCTAATTCTTGTTTTTAGATACTTTCCGCTTTTTCGCAGGGAAAATGCCGCCAGTTTTCTCCGCGTTCCGCACCCGGACTCTCTACGCCTACGTTCTGTATAGACACCCCACGCTAGCCGTGACGAAGATCATGGGGCTTCTCTGCTCACTGAAGCCTCACTCCTTTCTATTTTAAATCCCAAACGCAACATTTAAATTCCAAATAGAGTTCAGCTTTTCAATATTCCATTTAAACTGATATTCGGCAACTTCGCGGCTAACCTCCCCACACGAAGGCGTGTCGCTGGCGCCACTTCCCATGGAAGGCGCTCCATCAAGAATGGGTTTAAATGAAAGCAGAATTAATTTTCAATTGAAAAATTCAAAATGATTCTTTTTTTATAATTTAGGGAGGGAAATAATGCCACAATCGAAGCCAAAAAGCTTTCCCCGCAGCTGCGCAGGCACTGCGCATCCACTGAAGGCAGTGCCAGCTGCGTGCGCTGAAGGCAGCAAACAAATCTGCTGCTGCTGGCCCCACACTATGTCATTTTGAACTTAAATAAGAAGGCAGACGCCCCAGCAGCAGCGGGAAAAAAGAAATAAAACAGAAAAAGAAAAGGAGCAAAGAAAGCAGAGACCAGCAAGAAGGATGTTGTCGATCTGCTGCTGCAGCAGCAATCGCGTGGGGCCCCAGGTAGCAATCTGGGGATTCACTTTGCTGCTGCAGCAGCTTGCGCTGCTGTTCTGCAGCAGCAAACTGAATCCTTAGCAACCTGGGGCCCCACAGGCCTGCAGCTGCTGCGCTGCAGCTGCTGCGGGCTGGGGTCTTTTTAGCAGCTCCAATAATTGCACCAAGGCCAATTCAGATTTTAATTTCTCTGATGCATTTAATGGAATAAAATGGGACTTCATTTTGGCATTAAAGAGAAGAAGAGCTGCGGGCTGTTGCCCTTGCGGTGTATGTACAACGCAGAATGCCAGCTTTCTCGTTCAGATCTTTGAACAGAAGCTCTTCACTTTCCAAGCTGCTGCAGTTTATTAAACCATTCATTAAATGAAATTGCACTCTTAAAGTGCAGCAAAAGTGGCATTTTGGGGGCTCAGAAGCCCCAAACATACTTCTCAAAAGGCATTTCCTTGCTGCTTATTTTTGAAATAAAATGCTGAGTTTGAGCAGACAAAAAAGACCATGTAGGCGATTCAAAAACAGGAAAACGGTGAACTTAATTGTTTTATTTGCTGGGCAAAAATAGCAGACAAATCCATTTCAAAAACCCCCCGAAGGCCCCACACTCGGTTTATTCTGCAACATAAAGTGCTGGCGCATGCAGCGAATTCTCAGGCTTGCTGCCAGCTCTTAGCAGCTCAAAAACTCCTTTCGGTGTTTTTTGAAAAAAGAGCTTTCGGTGATTTCCCGAGTTGTTGCTGTTTGCTGTACCTACACCGCAACTGCAACAGCAAGGGAGCCGCTCTTCTGTGGCTTCTCGGGCCTCATTAGCAGCAAATTGGGCTGTTTAGATTTAAATTTTATCCCCAGGAACTGCCGCATAACAATTTAAAACTAGCTTGGCCTTATTAGAGTTATTTCAGCAGGCAGAAAGCCCCCAAGCACACAGCAGCACAGGCCAGTGGGGCCCCTTGTGGGGCCCCCCGCATGCGAAGCTCTTCATTTTGCTGATTAAAAAGACCCAAATAATTTTAAATAAAATGCAGCAGCACAAATTGCAGCCACGGGGATGCACTTTAAGTGCAGGTGTGGCAAAAAAGAAAAGAAGAAATGAAACTCCAAGACCTTTTGTCTTGAATTTGAAAATGCATTTATTCGTTTTAGATAAGAGGGGGAGTTGCAGATGCTCAAGTGATTAAATGACATAAAAAGAAATAAATAGAGTTGGAATTAGAAGAAAAAGAAACAACAAAGCCAAAGGCTGCTCCTGCCGCAGCGTGACTTTTGTGAACTTAAAAAGGCAAGCAGTGGAAAGCGCTGCTGCCTGGAGCTTCTAGAAGACTTTTCTGTTTATTTTTCGAATTTTTTGCTTCAAAAAGTAAGTATTTTAATTATTTGGAAAAAAATACAAACTTTAAATGGTTTGCCGCCTTGTGTTTCACTAAAAGTCAAAAGATGGCTACAATTCAAGTTGGGGCTCGCACACGCGCTGCAGCATAGTTGCAAATGCCCTCGATCTTAATTTATTTTATTTATTTAAACAATGAAATTAAAATAAAATGATTTTAAAAAGATTAAAAGTAAGTTTACGCGCAGTTGCTCTCAGAGGTTGGCTCCACACGGCCATTTGCCACCAGCAGCACTGCTGCGCACAAGTATGAATATATATTTCAGCAATTATTATTAAGTTTAAATAAAAATTAATTTAAAGTATTTTAAATTTGATTAAATAAAAGCCAACAGCTGCGCAGCTGCTGCTTTCCTTCATTTGTGCAAATGTGTAGCTTTCCTTAGTGGGGAAACACAGAAGAGTAGAACGCCAAACTTTTGAGCTCTAGACTCACAAAACATAAAAGCTAAAATTGTTTTATTGAAAAAGTTCCGTTGAGGCAAATGTTGCGCATTTTCTGAAAAAATAGCATGCATAGACTGGAGTGCATGCAGTTTGCATGTTGGGATGCATGCAGTTTGTCCGTTGGGCTCTTAAGTATGGCCCTGAGAAGCTCTATACACCTCGGGAAGCAGCACAGATGAGTTTTTAAAGTGTTAGAATACGTTTGAGGGATTAAGTGGCATTTTTATGTTTGTTTTTGAACAAATGTTCAACACTTTCATGCATAAATGTGCTCTGCATATCTGGGCGAGCCTTAGTTCAATTTTGTGTGTGCGTCTTTGCGCGATTTCAGCAGTTTTGCATGAAAGCATTGCAGGTGGCAGCAGGGAAATGTACAAATACACTTCCATTTGTTGCGCATTTTGCAGATTTCTTGCAGATTCGTTGTCAAATTCGCGAAGAGACTTAACTTATTTGTGCAAATTCAGAAAGAGAATTAACTTATTTAAGAAATTCACAAAGAAAATTAATTTATTTGTGAAATTCAGCAGCTAATTTTGTGGTTTTCGACGGCCAACGAAGTGAACTCGACAGCCCACTCGCTAAGCTCCGTCAGCTTTCCTTTGTGACTCTGTCTGACCCTCTCTGTGTTCTCTGTACTGAAAATAAATTAAAATGTCTGTGGGACGTTTCAATTTGCAGGAAAGTTTGAATTCAAAATTTGCATTCCTTTCCTCCAGTGGCCGTGTACTGTCGCGTACACCCCGGGGGCCGTTGGTGTTATGCAGATCGGCCCCTGCAGCACTCCACGGCGGCCAATTGCCGTCAATTCTCTTTAATTTTGGCATGTTTTAATTTAAATTAATCAATAAAAGGGAGTAAGCAGCAAAGAAATTGCCAGACGAACCCGCAGCAGCAGGAGCTGCAGTGTGCCGATGGCTCGGCGGCCGCCGAAGCGCCTGCCGGTGCTCTCTGTTCCTCTGGTGTTGTTCCCACGATTTGAATTGAATAAATTGTTTGTAAAGAAATAAAGTGTTTGCTAAAGAAATAAAAAGTGAATTAGTTTCGAGTTTAGATGTTAGACCGCAGAGGCAGACCGGAGGCTCTTCCGTGGGCCAGTGAGCTGCGTGTCGTCTGCGGGCGCCGCCACCTCCCCGTTTGCCCATATCTCTTTGTCTTGCCGAGCTTTCTCTGTAAATTCCACTTTTATTTTCTTTTTTAAATTTAGAAAAAGGGGATTTTTAACCTAACTTATCTCTCTGGCCGCAGATCGGCCCTGCAGCAGCAGCAGCAGCAGCAGCAGCATCGACGCTTCCCGTGCAGAGAACAGTACCCCAAAGAGGACTTGAACCTTTTAGAGAGAATAAAAGAAGATAGTTTTTGGTTTTTTCATCTCAAGAACTTGAGAAGTGGCAGCTTTCGCCGCTTGTTATCCCTCGCCGGGGCCTCAGCGTTGCCTCTCTGCGCAACGCTATCTGCAGCTGCTGCTAAACTGGCAAAGACACTGCAGCAGAGCAACACAGCTGCGCCTTCTTGCTGCAGCAGCAGCTGCAGCGGGCGCTGGGCAATCTGCTGCTGCGGCTAGCTGCTGGGCGCGCAGCTCTTTGTCTGCTGCTTCCAGAGTTGCAAAAAACTTCGAAAAGACTTCAAAAAAAGACTCTGCATGCACTGCATGCAAAGACAAAATGCCTTCACTTGCTACGGAGGAACTGGTGGATCTGGAGCGGCTCACGGGGCAGCTGAGGTGTACGTACACCGCATCCTGCTGCTGCAGCTCAGCACTCCTGTTAATTATTTATGTGGTTTATTTGCTTCTTTTGTTTATCTTTTTTATTCTAAAATGCAAAATTGCACTTTTGTGTCTCCGTAATACGTGTATAGTTAGGCTGCGGTGTCTGGACACCACAACATGTTTACCTGCATGCGCTGCCCCACTTCTCTATCACGTCATCTGCTGCTGCTGCTGCTGCTGCTGCATTTGCTGCTTTTCGCAGCTTTGAGGGACGAGGAGCGCCGTTTGCTGCAGACTTGGGGCTGCCGCAAGTGAGGCTTTCTTTTGCTGCAGCAGCAGAGCAGCAGCTTATTACGTAGTGGGGCCTGGCCGCAGCCCGTAAACTTGGTTTGCTGCACCTTGCTGCTTTCTCTTTACCTCTAGACTCTGCTGCTGCGGTTTGCTGCTGCAGCAGGCCTGTGGGGCCCCGCCCTTCCCCTCTCGGGGGACCCCACAGCAGCAAAGCTCCGACGGGCCCCCGAAGGGCCCCGCAGCCTGTGGGGCCCTCTGCAGCAGAGAGAGATGCTGCTTCTCTCAGCAGCTTGAGGAGAAGATCTTGTGTGAGTCACCCTGGCTAGCTAGCTGAGTGGCTAGCTGCCTAGCTAGCCAAGTGGCCACCTAACTAGCTCGCTGATTGGCTCGCTCGCTAGCCAGCTAGCTAATTGGCCTGCTCCCTGCCCAGCCAAGCAACTAGCTAGCTAGCTAGCTGGCTAGCTATTTGGCGAGCCAACTTGCTAGCTAGGTGGCTAGCTAACTAGCTGGCTCACTGACCGGCTAGCTAGTCAGTTTGCTAGCTAGGCTTCTTGCGTTTTGCATGGCGATCTAGCTGCCTACTGAGGCCGCTAGCTAGCTGGGCAGCTAGCTAGCTAGCTAGCGAGCTAGCTAGCCACGAAGGCTTTGGAAGGGCTGACCAGCTAGCCACTGTGGCTGCATCTGCTGCTGCAGAGGAACCTGGGCCTGCGGGTGCGGGTGATGGAAGGCAGCAGCTTTTCTCCTGCCTCAGACTCCTCCATTCTGAAGGCCCCAAGCCCCACCAGTAAGTCTATTGTGCATGCATGCATGCATGCATCCATGCGTGCATGCATGCATGCATGCATGCATGCGTCCTTGCATGCACACTAGACTTGCTAGTGGGCGTGCATGCATGCGCGCTGCAGCACCATGCTAACAGTAACAGAGCAGCAGCTGCAGTGCCAGTGAGGATTTGTTTAATGGGGCTGAGCTGGCACTGTGACGTCTCCCGCAGAGGCAGCGGCGCAGCGACAAAGCAGCAACAGCAGCAGCAGCAGCAGCAGCAGCAGTAGCAGCAGCGGCAGCAAGATCCCTCCATGGCAGCAGGAGTTCACAGAGGCAAACTAAAGCGGGGAGCCTTTTCTTTTGAAAGCCCTTTCCCTTTGTGTGTTCTCTGCTGCGCCTCAGATGAATTAGCAGGAGCACCGAACTGGGGCGCTGGTGCTGCTGCTGCAGCACCTGCAGCAGCAGCAGCAGCAGCAGCTGGTGCTTCAGTTCAAAAGAATGTGGAAAAGCCACTGGCAAGAAGAAATGGCCTTTCACCTCTTGTGCACAGCGGCTCTGTCCCCGCTGTCTGTACATACACCCCAAAGTGGCAGGGGAAAAACAAAGAAAATATTTGTGGGGCCATTTTGAGTCTTTCAGAAAAAGAAGCAAAAGTTTCTTTTCAGTCGGCTGCTGTAGAACCATTCTGCAGCAGCAGACACAGGCAGCAAACTGGCCCGGAGGTCCAGGGACTGCAGCAGCGCGCCGAGGTGCAACACACGCCACAGCAGCAGCTGCGGCTGCAGCAGGAACGGCAGCAGCTCCTGCAGCAACGCCAACAGCTGCAGCAGCTGCAGCAGCTGCTGCTGCGAATGCCGCAGCAGCAACCAAACCAACTGCACATCAAGGTAATGGCTTTCTTCCTTTCTTGTCACTTCAAGTCTGTTACTCTGTGTGCCCTTTGAGCTGCAGTCAGCCAATGCAGCAGCAGCAGCAGCAGCAGTAGCAGCAGCAGCAGCCAACCTATGAACGTACAAAACGTGTGGGGTTGATGCGTGTGAACTTCGCAGGACGACCTGAACTTCTGGGGGGGGAGGCGCCAGCAGCAGCAGCAGGAGCAGGAGGGAGTAGCAGCAAGCCATAGATACACAGTGAGGCTAGCAGCAGCCATGAAGACACAAAGCAAAACAGCCAGCAGAAGCAGCAGCTGCTGCTGCCAGCACAGAGCTGCGGGGCTATTGCTTGTCGCATATTCTCTAATGAATCAGATGGGGAGCTGGCTAGCTATGTAGCTAGCTGGCTAGCTACGTAGATAGGTGGCCAGCTGCACAGCAGCCAGTTACGTAGCTAGCTGACTAACTATGAAGCTAGCTGTCTAGCTCTGCAGCTAGCCAGTCACGTAACTAGCTAGCTAGCTAGCTACCTAGCTAGCTAGCTACTTGAATATGGAACTTCCTTCTTGTGATTCTCTTGCTTTGGTTTGACAGACTGTGACTCAATTGGGAGACAAAACGGCTGCATGCAAAGAGCAGCAAGGAGGCCTTAGCAAGCAGCCAACCGTGCAACAGCAGCTGCTCGAGGCCCAGAGGCGGGTGGAAATGCTGCAGGCTCTGCTGCAGCAGCAGCAGCAGCAACAGCAACGCCACCAAAACAGGGCCCTGCCGCTTCAGGCGCCAGACCTGCTGCAAAAGGAGCGATCAACGCACCTGCAGCAGCTACGACAGCAGCAGCCGCTGCAGCAGCAGCATCTGCAGCAGCTGCGACAACAGCAGCTATCACAGCACCAGGAGCAGCAGCAGCTGACACAGGCTGGTACTTGGCTGCAGCAAAACCGGTGCCGCCCCATACATCTGCATGCATTGCAGCAAAAGAGGCCCACAGCCCCTGTGGCTTCTCCGCCTGCCCGTCCCCAAGATCCTGGGTGTTTCGAGCAATCTGCAGCAGCAGCAGCAGCGTCCACTGCAGCAGCAGTTTATGACACAGCAGCACGTACAGCAGCAGCAGCCCGCGCTGCAACAGCAGCGCGCACTGCAGCAGCCCGTAGACCAGAAGCAGCCGCATGCGCAGCTCCGTCATGTGCTGCAGCGGCAGCAAGTACAGAAACAGCAGCACGCGCAGCAGCAAAGCTCCCCGCAGAGCACGCAGCAGCAGCAGCAGCAGCAGCAAGTGCAGCAGAGCGGCCTGCTTTGGGGGGCCTGAGCTTCCTTGGCGCAGCCAGCCCTAGCGAGCCAGAGCCAGAGTAAGCTGCAATATCCTTTTTGTCTGTTTGTGTTTCTAAAAATATATCCTTTAAATTTGCCTTTTTATGGCTGCAGAGAATACCCCACAGTGGGTCTTTTGTGTCCTTGGGCTCTGCTATGCAGCAGCAGCAGCAGTAGCAGCAGCAGCAGCAGCAGCTTTTGTGTGTCTTTTTCTTTTTGGGGCCTCTGTGTGTGCATAATTTGCGTCTCTAGATCTTTGTTGGCTTGGGCCCTTGACTCTCAGAATTGCTGCCTATCTCCTTTAAGCCTTCCTTCAGGGTTTAGGGTTTAGGGTTTAGGGTTTAGGGTTTGGAGTTTAAGACGTAGGGGGTTTAGTGTTGGCCGCTTGAGCTGCGCGTGGCTTTGCTTGTCCATTTATTTCACTCTTTTCCTTTTTACCAAACTATTCCATCTCCCAACCACTCCTTTTGTCTTCTCTCAAAGTTCCTTCTGTTTGCTGCTGCTCGTTTGCTGCTGCTTAATTGCTGCTGCTTGTTTGCTGCTGCTTCTCCGCAGCCCCAATTTGCTGCCTACCAGCACCTCTCTGGCCCAGGCGGTGCAGCAGCAGCACAACGAGCTCTTCTCCGGCCTTAAGCGAGTCAGTCTCTCCGCCTCTTTGCTGCTGCCTCTCTGCTTCTTCCCAAGTTCCAGCAGCAGCAGCAGCAGCAGCAAGTGCAGCAAAGGGGCCTGTTTTGGAGTGCTTGAAAGGCCCCCGGGGGCCCCCAGGGGCCAATGGGAGGGCGTACAGACCCGGAGGCCCGTGGGGGCCCTAAAATTCCCTATAGTCTTTCTCATAAAGGGTTCAGGGGGTACCTGGGAGCCCCTGAGAG